TCAGCTCTGGGTTCATTGTTACAGATGCAGCGCCCTCACACGAGGTCTGCCAAGCTTTTTACAACTGTAATGATTTCCCATTAGCACTTCTAATGAGAGGATTCATTAATGTGGTGTGTGACCAATCATAGTGAATAGAGGCAAGATTGAGCAGGCGGATGAAAAGATGCTCTGTAATGACACAAGACTTTGAAATTGTGTTTCCATGGGACAGATGTAGACTGACAGAGGCAGGCTGTGGGTCTCTGTCAGCTGCTGTGAGTCAGCCTCCAGCATCAAGCTGCAGGCTCATTTATTAATGGCTAAATCCCCCTGTATGCTATTGTTTTATTAGCTTAACTTATTGCTTATTGAAGTTATACAGACAGAATATCAGCTGTTCCTCCTTTTAGTGTTTTACTTGCCGTAGCAGCAGCCAGATAATCAGATGCCCTTGATCATCTTATCATTAAGTGTAAGCAGATGTTGCAGTTTGCAGATCTGGAGGATTCACGTGTGTGACGTCCACTCCTGGGTGGATGCATGAACAAGTGTGGCTGGTTTGGAAGGGAAACCCTTCATGGCTTCTGGAACCATGTTCTTTGGAACGTGGAGATGTTTGTCCAGAACAAACAGCAGCACCTTTGGAGAAAAGGTGTCAGCTCATACCGGCTGTCAGCATGGTGGTGGAGGGCTGATGATTTAAGCACCTGACAGTCACTGAGTGGACCACGAACTCTCTCTAGAGTCAGATGTGAGGCCAGCTTTGTGGCAGCTGGAGCTCGGCCTACACTGGTTGTAAAACGCCACTACAATAAATAAAATGCACAACAATAATGCAGTAAAATACAGAAAAATAAATAAAATGTAATAACAAAAACAACAACGACTGTTAAAACCTAAATGTTTAGATCAACGTGTGTTTAAAGCCAGACTATAAAAATGTGTCTTCAGTAACGATTAAGATGTTTGTGTAGATCTGATATCCAGAGTCTGCCACAGAGAGGGCTCCGTCACCATGAGACTGAAGTTTAGACCAGGATTAGTTAAGGTTAGTTTAACCTAAAGAGAGCTGCGTGTAAATAACTGCTCGCAAATGTAAATGAAGTGAGAATCACTGGGTCGCCTCCACAGTTATATGAGAGAGCGATGAAGTCACTGATTGCTACACGTGGTTATACGCCCTACTGAATTATGGGAAGTACATGGCCTTAATAAACTGCCATGATGTGTTTGAAATGAGCTTGGATTAGATTACTAGTTTGTGCATTTTAGCTTAAAGAAAGTGAAAAAGTTACTTAGACACCACAAAGTTAAACAAACCATCAAGAGAAAAAAGCAGTTTGGACGGCGTGGGAAAGTTCTGAATGTCAACACGAGAACGAGCTCGATGGAAACTTTTTTTATGTTTAATGTTCTTTGCTAAAAATGTGTTTTTGGCACCAGCACAGTCCTCTCGGTGCAGTTTGATTTGTTTCCAGTCTTCAGTTACAGCTAAGTTTCTAAGAACACGCATTTTGCAGCTTCTTAGCAGTAGAGCAACTTAGAGCAGTTTCCCAGTCAGCCTGTGTCTCAGCTCACAGAGGGATCAATGGCAGGGCCGGC